AGCCTTTCTGTGGAGAATAATTGTGTACAAAGTAGAGAAATATCCAATTATGTGACAACCTTTGTGTAATAAAAATTTGTTTAAAGTTAATATTTGTGTTAGCTTTTACATTAAGTTGGAGAGAAGGGACAGCTTGCATGTGTAAAAACACTTCACCAAGAGTATTTTCATGTAGCTCTTTTTTTGCACACTGAATTGCATCATTGGTAATTGGAGGAATTTTTTAAAAAGGCAGGAAACCTAATGGGGGAAATGTTGGGTGTATTGAGACCTGGTCATAATAGGCAATCTGTTGTTTCTTGTGGGAGTTAGGAAATGAACAAAGCCTACTAAGTCTTACTTTTGTAAGGGGTGTGCCATTCCAGCATGGAGAATTTGGATATGCTAAGCAAGCACAATATTGAGCTACATCCCAAAGCACTTCATATTTATTTTTTAGTTTTTGGCRGACACAACATCTTTGTATGTGGTGCTGAGGATCAAACCYGGGCCGCACGCATGCCAGGCGAGCGCGCTACCGCTTGAGCCACATCCCCAGCCCAGCACTTCATTATTTTTTAATAACTTGAAATAGGTTCTGGCTCAGTGTACTTAATGTCTATCTTGAAGTTGCAGAATGTATACCTCTTTTCGTGTGGGAAAGGATTTTACTAAGCTTGGCACTGGGCTGCTTCTCTAAACTAGGCATTGAGGCATATGTTCTTACTGTCTTGTAATGCAGGGGATTGAACCCAGGGCCTAGTACACGGTAGGCAAGTGCTCTGCTGTCATTAAGGATGTAAGTTGGGCAGAAGTAGAGTCCYGTTTAAAAAGGAAAAGTTGATCACAGATGAGAAATCTTCCACCTAGTTACCAGAGCAAGGTATTCTTAGTTGACTAAGTCACAGATTTGAGGAGACTAAATGACCTTTTATTTCACAAATAAGAGGTCAAGCGAGGTTTTTAGAAAAGGAAGGGGGGTGCTGGGGTTGTGGCTCTGGTGGAGCACTTGCCTTGTGAGGCACTGGGTTCGATTCTCAGCACTGCATATAAATAAATGAATACAATAAAGGTCAACAAAAATTTTAAAAAATGAAGAAATGCCTTAATATTGGGATTTGTAGGAAGAATTTATCTTCTAGGTAATTGTTTCAAGAGAATTCAAAAAGGCTGCAGCCAGAGAGATGTGGAAATTTCTTTTTTTCTTAGCCTTAAGTGCAAACACCCATGGTCATACTTAATGGAATTGTGTAGACCATAGTCTTAATCATTTTCTACTTTGAAAGTAGAATATTCTACTTCTTTCAAAGTAGAAAATGATTAATAAACCCATTTTTAGGCCAGGCTCATGACAAAAGATGAAAGGGACTTTAATCCAACCTCCACCTCCCAAATATCCAATAGAAAAAGACAATATCTGGGCTGGGGATGTGGCTCAAGCGGTAGTGTGCTTTCCTGGCATGTGCAGGGTGCTGGGTTCAATCCTCAGCACCACATAAAAATAAAGATGTTGTGTCCACCGAAAACTAAAAAAAAAAAAAAAAAAAAAAATTAAAAAAAGAAAAAAGCATGTTCTACCTTCTGTGATAACAGAAATTTGGGGTAGGTTCTAGAAAGGGGCAGGAATATCAACAGTATTTAGTCAAGATAGTAGAGCACAGCCTCGCACGTGAGGCACTGGGTTCAATCCCCAGCACCATGTAAAAAAATAAAGGTATTATGTCTATCTGCAACTAAWTTTTTTTTTAAATTATTAAAGATGTCAGTGTGGGTAAGAAAACAGGTATTTATTTAGATCTCTTGAAGAAACCTGCTGCAAGTCAGTTCATGGACATTTCCTGGGAAACCACTCACAAAATGTCAAGAGAGATTGACCTGAAGAGAAAAGCAGCATGGAATGGCCTTACTGTGAAAACAAGCAGGATTTAATTGCCTTTCTGCCAAGGATCTATATGTACGAAGGAGGGGCTTTTCAAATAAAAATGTCCAGAGAGAGGGGAAGTAAAYGATGATCCAGTATTTAGCCCCAATCATGGTAATAAACCTGGATAGATAAAACAGGAATAACCCATGGGAAATTAGGGAGTCAGATCCTGCTGACTCAGGAAAATTCATGAGGAAGTAAAACATTTCTACTTTAACTGAGATAACCCCTGCTAGGCTCAGAGTTTGGAGCATCCAAAAACCTTTAGTTTGGGGCCTATGGTTTATGTATCTTCTTAGTTCTTACAGCAACAAATTCAGTATGATCATTTTCAAACTTGGTTAAATGCTGGGAACTATCTATGTTGGGAGTTAAGATGCCAATTGTGGTGCTTACCTGTAATCCCAGTGACTCAGTAGCACTGCAAATTCTAGGCCAGCCTCAGCAATTTAGTGAGATCCTGTCTCAAAAAATATAAAAGGGCTGGGGATGTACCTCAGTGGCAAAGTATGGCTGGATTCAACCCTCATACTTTAAAAAATGGAACATTACACAGCTATAATTCCAGAGACTCAGGAGGAAGAGGCAGCAGGATTGCAACAATGACGCCTACCTGGCAACTTGGACCTTGTCTCAAAATGAAGGACCGGAGATGCTCAGTGCTTGCCTGGTATGCATGAGGCCCTGGGTTCAATCCCTAACAACCTCCCCGCAAAATAATGGAAACAGTCTTCCTAGGATACCATGGTTTGTGATGGGAAAAAAATCAAATGGATCTAGAACAGTTATAGCTTGAGAGCATGAATACTTTCAAAAACATYCAGAGAAGTCATGCATCGGTGCACATGGGTAATCCCAGCTACTCCAGGGGCTGAAGCAGGAGGATCACAAATTCAAGGTCAGCCTCAACAACGGAGATCCCAACTCAAAACAAAAAAGGACTAGGGCTGGGGGCTGGGGTTGTGGCTTAGCGGTTGAGAGCTCACCCAGCACGTAGCACATGCAAGGCCCTGGGTTTGACCCTCGCCACCACATAGATTGTGTCCATTCACAACTAAAAAAAATTTATACATACATTTAAAAACCAAGAGAATTTTATAAATTGGATTTGCAATTTTAATTAAATGTTTAGAAATCCTTAGGTTTGCAATATTTAAATGCTCAGGGAAATTTATTTTGCTAATTCCATATAGTATGTGAATATTTAAAGGAATGTTTAATTTTTTAAAGTATAATAAATTCATAAGATTAATAAATTAAGTATTAAGAACAAATAAAATTATTCTGCTCCTTGTTCCAAGAGAAAATATTAAAAAACGATTGGCCTCACAAACAAGGAACACATAAGGAACTCCTGGTCACTAAGGGAAAAGAGTAACAGCCAATACAGTATAGTACTTAAGTGTTTGTGA